GGTGGGGGGGGTGGATGGGTGGATGATAGAGAAATGGAGGTTGCTTTAGGAAGTAGCTTCTTAGGTTAACTTAGTGATATTTATATTTCATATTCTTCTCTTAAGGCTACTGATGCCCGGAGGGCTTTTCCTTGCTGGGATGAACCGGCCATCAAAGCAACATTTGATATCTCATTGGTTGTTCCTAAAGACAGAGTAGCTTTATCGAACATGGTATGTATGTGTTTATAGTTAGCTTTAATAGGCCTTGGTAGTGGGGCTTGGTGGTGGTACACGCCTGTAATCCCAGCACTCGGGTGGCTGAGGCAGGAGGATCGCTGCAAGTTCGAGATCAGCCTGGGCCACATAGTGAGTTTCAGGTCAGTCTCAACTACATAGTGAGACCCTGTCTCAAAAAACCAAAAAAAAAAGGAGAGGGGGCCTTGGTGTGGTTTTGTTTTTTTGTACTGGGAATCGAACTCGGGTCCATTGCTTTTGCAAGGCAAGCGGCGGCACCACTGAGCTAAATCCCTGGCCCTAGGTATGGTTTAACACTAACATGAAAGCACCTTGCACAGTGCTTAGTACATAGTAAAAATGCCAGTGTTAGTTGTCTTCATTTCTGGTGAGCTCCTTTATCTCTCAATAGCCTGTTTTTATACTGTTTCCCCTGTCGTGAAAGAAATTCCTTGTCAAATAGGTAAGCCAGGCCTGGTGGTGCATGCCTTCAATCTCAGCATTCTGAGAGACTGAGGCAGGAGTCACTAGTTCGTCCACCCTTAGTGAGACTCTCTCAAAATAAAAGAAGGTTAGGGATGTATCTCAGTGTGAAGGCCCTGGGCGTGATTCCGAGAAGGGGGTGCACAGAAGCCAGCGCTGTATGAAGTGTACGTAGGCTTTGGCTGACCGTGTTCTTTCATTGTGCCCCTTTCCTGACACGCTCGATCTCAACCACAGGAGAGCGTTCACCACCCACAGCGCTGTGTGGGGCCGCTTGGTTAAGACCAGGGGCTCCCTCAAGCTTGGACTCTGGGGAACTTGGAAGAGCCCACTGTGCCTTAACATAACTGGCTGTCGCCTGCTTGCTGGTGGGAGGATTCCATCTGCATGCATTCTTCTCTCAAGTAACCCTTGAGAGGAGGCTAATACACTAATCTGAAGTGCTCATTTACATCTTACTATGAATGAATATATCAGGTCTGTTCTTGAGTAAGTCTTCCTTGGAAGAGAGTTTGGGGAAACAGCCTGAATGGGAAAACGGGAGAGCGCCAGAGGGGAGTTGGGATTCCTAGAGATAAAATGGAAATTTTGTCACACATTTCCTTAGAGGCAGTCATAGTACAGAGAATCCTTGAGGTGTGGAAAAACCGTACCCTTTAAAATTAGAAATTCCATAATTCCATTTATTTTTATTAATTAAAAAATTTTGGGGGGGGTACCAGGGATCAGACTCAGGACCTTGTGCTTGTAAGGCAGGCGGTGGCACCACTGAGCTACATCCCCAGCAAATAAATATTTTCTCTATCATTGTTTCATTTGAAAAGTATTGAGGTCGGCAAACATCCCGGTCTGTGGCCTATGAGTATTCCAGACAAGTTGATTCCTCATTTCTTTCACAGGTCCTTGGTAGTTGTAATACTTTTGCTCCCAGCTTCATATGAGTATTTTATCAAGTCACTTCCCTCAAGAGGAAGGTTCTTGACAGAATAAAAGCACTGGATGAGCTGGGAGAGGGAAGGAAGCCATTTTGGCACGGGGGAAGGAAAAGTATTCACATCTATGGTTTTTGACTAGTGTTTGCTCTAAGATATTGATGTAAATCTGTTACATTTTTCCTTTTTTTTTTTTTTTATTAAAGAATGTAATTGACCGGAAACCATACCCAGATGATGAAAATTTAGTGGAAGTGAAGTTCGCCCGCACCCCTGTTATGTCTACATATTTGGTGGCATTTGTTGTGGGTGAATATGACTTTGTAGAAACAAGGTCAAAAGATGGTGTGTGTGTCCGTGTTTACACCCCTGTTGGCAAAGCAGAGCAAGGAAAGTTTGCGTTAGAGGTAAATGTACTTGAAGAGGATTGTTCCAACAGTCCATAACTCCAGGTTGGGGAATTTACATTTCTGATCAATTATTAGTTCATTATTTATAATTTAATCTGAAAATTATTGTGCTACTCTGCTTTTATTTTTAATAGTGTTTTGAAAGTACCAACTTTGATGTTGCATTACTACAAGAGAATCACAGAATGCGATTCTGGGGTATACAGCTCAGTGGTAGCAGGCATGCTCAGCATGGACAAGGCTGTGTGTGGGTTTAGATCTCAGCGCTGGGGAAAAAGAGAATATAAAAGTGGAATTCATTTGTTTAGGGAATGGGTGGGAAATATGTGCTTCTATTTTAGGTTATGAATTGGTCAGAGTTGGGCCAGTTATACGAAGCTTGAGGCTGAGGAGGCAGGGGTCCCTGGGATTGGTTTGTAGTAATTTTGGCTTGCGACAGGTTTCCTTTGTGTATTTCTGTATGAATTTAATAAAATATTGATCGAATGGTTCATTTGTATATCATTTTATAGGTTGCTGCTAAAACCTTGCCTTTTTATAAGGATTACTTCAATGTTCCTTATCCTCTACCTAAAATCGATCTCATTGCCATTGCGGACTTTGCAGCTGGTAAAGTAAATTTCATTTTGTTGCTGAATTGTAATAATTTTATTTGAATTTGTGATTTTGAGGAAGAAGTCTTGCTGTACACATCATAAGTGTTTGTGTTTGTTTTGTGAAGGTGCCATGGAGAACTGGGGCCTTGTTACATACAGGTAGGTTGGCCATGCGCTTCCTGCCTTGTCTTCTGGTCATGACTTCAGCAGTACTTCACACCTAATCACGGGTTGAATAGTGTGGCTTTGTGATTTGGTGTACATTTTTCTGCCTCCTCCCATTTTGGTGCACATTTCCAGAATGCAGATGGACTTCCCCCTCTGGTGCTACTATCTGAGGGTGTAAGACTTTAAAAGCGAGCATCTGGCATTAGTAGCATTTTTAGCTACATTCTTGGCTGAGTTTCTCATTTTTGTGCCTTTCCTTCCTCTCAGTAGTTTCATAGTTATTTATCCAGCTTGAAGAACCTCCCCTGATTTCGTATCCTCTGGCCAAGTTTTTATTTCTGTCACCGCAACGAAAACATGTGGGTTGTATCATTTTTAAAGCAGAGTCTGTAAACAGTTTTTTGCCTTCTACTTTCAGTTGCCTTTTAGATGAGATGAATCTGGACAGCCTGCTCAGTGTTCTTTGAGGGGCTGTGGCCTGCATCTTTCCGTGCTGCTCCTCTCATTTAGTGAAAGAGGTGTCGTCTTTAACAGAATCGTCCCCAATCCCTTAGACAAAGTCTTTCCAACATTTTAGATGACAAAGTGGTAATTAAACTCGGGGCATGTCAGATGTCTCATCTTCTGCTGTATGAATTCTGTCTGGGTAGGTGTTCTATCTTAGAATTTTTTCTATCCTCTATAGGCTAAAAAAATGTGTTTTGTTATCTGGAAAGCTGAACCTAAGGATCTTGTTTACTGTCTGAACCACCTTGACTTAAGCAATACTGTTTTTGCGATTTTTTTTTTTTTTTAACAGGGAGACTGCATTGCTTATTGATCCAAAAAATTCCTGTTCTTCATCACGCCAGTGGGTTGCTCTGGTTGTGGGACATGAACTCGCCCATCAATGGTTTGGAAATCTTGTTACTATGGTATTTAATATTTTTTTAGTGCTCAAATATATTTATCTTTATCCTGCTGCACATTATTTTGGCCACTTTCAGGTTTGGCTGTAACATTATGGCAAAAAATAATTGGTAAAATATCATGTTTTGAAAGATCCACTTTAGTTAGGCGTGGTGGCGCATGCCTGTGATCCCTGTACTCAGGAGGCTGAAGCAGAGTTAGGAGGCCATCCTGGGCTACATAGCGAGACCTCGTCTTGATATTTAGATAGATAGCTAGATAGATAACTAATAAAAAATTCCGCTTTATGGGAAAGGATTTATCAGAATATCTGTGTTGATTGAGAACTTATGGACAATCTTTATTTATGCAAAGCACATCTGCCATTGAAGGGAAGTTAATAATAATTGGGTGAGAGAGAGAGAGAGAGAGAGATCTTAGGTAAACATGAATGAATCAGTTGGGTGTGTGGCACGCATCTGTAATCCCAGGTGCATGAGAGTCTGGGCAATTTGGGAAGCCCTGATCTCCAAAAACAGGGCTGGGAATGTAGCTCAGTGGGAAGGCCCTGGGTTCAGTCCACAGTACTGCAGTAACAAGAAAGGGTTAGGGGTGTAGCTCAGTGCCCATTAACACTAAAAATAAATTTTAAAAAAGGATGAATGAGTCACAGTGATGTTCAAGGCTAGCAGTTATTTGAGTCCTGTTTGTTTCATAGTTCACTAGCTGTAGGGCCAGAGATTTAGCTCAGTGGTTCCACCGCCTGCCTTGCCAAGTGCAAGGTCCCAAGTTTGATACCCAATACCAAAAAAACCCACAAAAAACAAACATAGTTCACTAACTGAAAAGTGACCTGATAAGCAATAAATTTGTCTTTAATGTTTTGAGGGTCATTTTGTTATTGCCTACAAATGTTAAGTAGAAATTTGATTAAAGTATATTACAATTCCAACTGTTTGGTTGAAGTCCCCATTTATTGTAGTATTTGCAGTGAAGGGTCTGTCTGCTAGTCCTTACCTTTCACTCTTGCTCAGAATAAACCCTCTCTGTGGAAGCTGTTATCCCCACGTAGGTGCGCAGGGCTTCCTCAGTGAGCTAGAGGTACCTCAGCTGTGCAGGAGCAGATGGCGCTGCCAGATCCCCTGACGGACTGCCTGCCAGCTGCCATACAGGCTGGTTAATCGTACTTACCTCTTGCAAATAAGCAAGAAAGTGAGACCTTTAGTAACTGCCCTGTCTGAGGAGAGTAGTAAAGAAAGCCAGTCCTGGGCCTGGGATTTAGCTCAGTGGTTCCGGCACCTGCTTTGCGAACACAGGGACCTGAGTTTGATCCGTAGTACCAAAAAAAAACAAACAAAGAAAGTCAGTCCTTGAAAAATCATTCCTTTTTGCTTTCTATGTTTAAAACTTTACTTATAGGTAAATAATAATAATAATAATAATAATAATAATAATAATAATAATAATAATAATAATTGGGCCTGGGATTTAGCTCAGTGGCACCGTGCCTGCCTCACAAGTGCAAAGTCCTGAGTTCGATCTCCAGTACAGTAATAATAATTGTTTTACTATAGTTTCACATGAAGTTACATTTGTTGGTGCCCGTGTTTAAATATGCAGGAAAATGGTCTTTTCTGCTAATGCAGCAAGTTTCCTACTTCCTACAAAATTTTGTTGCTCAGCTTCAAGAAGACCTTATGATTTTATTTTGAAACTAAGAACAATAAATTTTAGTAGAGTAAATACATGTTATTATCTGATCTAGTTGTTTCATAAATTGAAATTCCTAGGGCCAAGAGATGGGTTGAAGAATAGCTTTGCCCAGCTTGTTCTAGTAGAGGTGCCAGTAAACAGCCGGAGGCTCAGACCAGTAGGCACTCAGCGCGCAATGCCTGAAGTATTTATTTGATTTGAGAGTTTCAGACCACCAGCTTCTCACTGTTTACATTAGTCTTGTGGCCTCTGTCTTGGGTTCCTACATTGCTTTCCTTTATTAAGAGACTTAATCAACTTTAATGGGAATTAGATTAAGATGTCTTTCTGAAAGGTTGATCGTTTACATATTTTTCATGTCACCCATTCAGTTCTTTGTCCGTTACACTGACTGCACAGCCTTACTAACAGGTGAACACTTTATATTGGTGAAACACTATTGATTATTGAACTGCTTCCTTCCAGAACATCTCTGTTAATTCCATATCATCCTATTACAGCAGTACATTATTTTTCTGTATCTCTAGAAAGTTAAACTCATAAATCATTGCTTTTTTTCCTAGTCATTGTCGAGATAGTTTCTGGTTTTGCTTCTTTGGCTTGAATAGTTTTCTGGTGTATTTTTATTAAGATAAATCCCTTACCAAACTAAGTTTTATGGGTTTTTGTTTGTTTGTTTGTTGTATTTTGATACAGAGTCTTGATCGGCAGTTCAGGCTGGCTTCACACTTTGCAGCAATTTTTCTGCCTCAGCCTCCTGAGTGCTGGGATCACCAGCGTGTGCCACCATGCCCAGCTGAGAAAATAAATTTTATATGAAAAAATATATAATGATGTTTTCTTTTCCGTATATGCCCCTTCCTCCTTCTACCTTTGGTAGTAAAAAGTTACTTAGCAGTATTTTGAAAATGTGATTTTGAAAAGTGATTTGATATCGCTAACTAACCTTTTTCAACATCTCTCGTATGCTTCCCTCTCCCTTTCCTGCTCCCACAAATACAAGTTCTTTACTTAAATGCTTTCAACTGAATTTTAGTTCATTAAATCATAAGTTTTGGGGTATATTAGAAGGTAATGTGCGGGCCGGGGATTTAGCTCAGTGGTTCTGCTGCCTGCCTTGCAAGCGCCAAGGACCTGAGTTCAATCCCCGGTACAAAAAAAAAAAAAAAAAAAAGTAATGTGTTTTGAAATTAGTGGAATAACAATCAGTTTGGTTTTGCACCTATTTGCCCCTTTTGTTTTTAGGAATGGTGGACTCATCTTTGGTTAAATGAAGGCTTCGCCTCCTGGATTGAGTACCTGTGTGTAGACCACTGCTTTCCAGAGTATGACATCTGGACTCAGTTCGTTTCTGCTGATTACACCCGGGCCCAGGAGCTGGACGCCCTAGATAACAGCCATCCTATTGAAGTGAGCTGTGCTTTCCACCCAGTCTCTGGCTTGACTGCTCTCCTCAGGGAAACAACTGTTACAGAGGTGTTTAGGGTTCTGGGATAAAGAGAAAATGCGGGAATGGCTTCTCTTGTTTCTATAGTTTATTGTTCCAATTTTAAAAACCTAACAAGAACAGGACCGGGGATTTAGCTCAGTCGTTCCACTGTCTGCCTTGCAGATGGAAGGACCAGAGTTTGATCCCCGGTCCTGTTTCCCTTCTCCCGGGGGCAAAACAGTGGTTACTTATAGTTAGAAACCTAAGAAGATTAAGTTCTAATTAACGTTTGTTTTTTGGGTAGGCAATATAAAAATTTAGCCTTTGTGGATGCAAGTGCTGTATATATTTTTTCACTGAAGAGTACAGGAGGAAACCATATAGGTTGAGTGACATTGATTCCATTGTTTGAAGGAAAATTCTACACATTTTATTATTTTCATCGCCTGTTTGTATATATTTTAACCCTCTTGGCTTAGCTTCTCCTTGCTTCTGTTAGTTTATATGTATAAATGTTACATTCAGAGAAATAGAGTTATAATCCTGCCTTGACACATTTAACCAGGGGCCTGTATAATTTTAAACTTTTAATTAGAGTGGGCAGTCAGTATTCTTCTCCTCTGCATCCCTGCTCCGCCCCCACCCCACACCCCCCAGCAGTGAATGGGCTGCTCCTGGCAGGCAGAGCAATGAGGAGCAAGAACCAAGGCTCTGAGAAGGGACCAGGGCCCTGTGTTGTCCCATGTGGTTAAGATGAGTTTCTGCACCCTTTTGAGGGTTATTGTGCGCATTGAGTTAAAGGCAGAAAATCATCTCTTGAGTTAGAAGGGTCTCGCTAGAAAGCGTTTTATGTAACTCAGCACTGCAGGCTGTCTGCTTTCCTGTCCTAACCCTGAGTCACACTGTCTGCCAGGTCAGTGTGGGCCACCCGTCTGAGGTTGATGAGATCTTTGATGCGATATCGTATAGCAAAGGAGCATCTGTCATCCGAATGCTACATGACTACATTGGGGATAAGGTAAAAGCAGTTTTTTAAATCTTTCATTCTTTTGTAATGAAATCTTAGACTTTTCCATGAATAAAATGTTCTAAAAATTACGTTCCTAGATAATGTTTTATCTCCATTTCTTTTAATATTGAGTATTTTGCCATCTTAGAATAAAGATGTATGGAGCCGGGGATTTAGCTCAGTGGTGCCACACCGCCTGCCTTGCAAGCGTAAGGTCGTGAGTTCCATCCCTGGAACTGAAAAAAAAAAAAAAAAAAAAAAAAAAAAAAAAAAAAAAAGTAGAAGGCAAAGAATATTAATTCTTAAGCAAAAGGCAGTGAACATCAGAGCAGTATCTTTTGCAGGATATCTGACTCTTGAGTATTTGAGTACATTTGCTTTTGATTGCTAATAGGCACATATACTGTATAAATTCCGAGGTCTCTCTAAATGTAACAATTGTGTTTTCTCAGGACTTTAAGAAAGGAATGAACATGTATCTAACCAAGTTCCAGCAGAAGAATGCTGCCACAGGTAATCTTCGTACTTTGAGGCAGAAATGCAGAGTAAGTGTGCGGCTCTCTCCAGAGTGGGACACTGCTCAGGAGCTCCTGACTCAGTGTGGTCCTTCTAAGAGTTGGGCCTCATTTTGTAAAACAGAGCCTAGTGCTTCATGCTTTCATTTGTTCCTGTTCTTTGTGAAAGGCATTTGGCACTTGGAAATTACTTGGTTTTTTTTTTTTTTTTTTTTTTTTTGGTACTGGGGATTGAACTCGGGTCCTTGTGCTTGTGAGGCAGATGGCGGAACCACTGAGCTAAATCCCCAGCCCCTGGAAATTACTTGTTATCGGCCAGTCTTCCTCCTTTCAGAGAAGTGCAGTGCCCCTGTCCTAATCACTGTTTTCCCCCGACCCATGCCATGGTGCTTTCGCCACTGGAATTCTGCTGTTGTCTGTGAACTTGCTGCTGCTCCCTCTGCACCCCTCCTTGCAGCTAGAGTGATCTTTCTAGAGTGAATCTAATTGTTAATCACTTTACTTATTAATACACTCCCTTCATTCAGAAATCCAAAACTCTAACCAGGCATGGTGTCACATACTTATAGTCATAGCATGCTGGGAGGATGAGACAGGAAGATTGCAAGTTTGAGCCTAGTCTGGGCAACTTAGTGAGACCCTTTCTCAAAAATAAAATACAAGAGGGGCTGGCGATTTAGCTCAGTGGTTCTGCCTCCTGCCTCGCAAGCACAAGGTCCCGAGTTTGATCCCCAGTACCAAAAAACAAAAACAAAAGACCACCCAAGTTCAATCCCCGGTACCAAAAAAAAAAAGACCACAAAGTCCTGAATTCCATCCCCGGTCCCCCCCAAGAAAAAATTAATAAAAAATGAGCCTGGTGTAGTGGCACATGCTTGTAATCCTAGCGCTTGGGAGGCTGAGGTAGGAGGATCACCACAAGTTTGAGGCCAGCCTAAACTACACAGTGAGACCTTGTCTCAAAAAACCAATAAAATAAAAATAAAAAATGACCTGGGATATAGCTCAGCATGAAGGTCCGGGTTTTAATCCGCAGGTCTACAAAAAGAAAAAAAAAATTACGACTCTATGGAAACTTTTCAGTCTTGAACAGTTAGCCCCTGCCTAATGTGTTGGTCTCATCTTTCATTACTATTTCTACTCACGAGCTCATGGAATGTATTGCTGATGTTGATACTTTCTCTTTTATGCTTTCCTGTTTGTACATAACATTTATTCTGCCTTCCTGAATTCCTTTTTTTTTTTCTTGTCTGTCTGATAAACAGCTCATTGTCAAAATGCAGACCAAAAATTGCCTCTTTTGTCAATGCGTGAGGTGGTGCCTGTAATCCCAGCTACCTAGGAGACTGAGGCAGGCAGATTGAGTTAGGAGCCAGTCTGGATAACCTCATGAGACTCTTGTCCCAGATAAAATAAAAATACAGCTGTGAGGGTGTAGCTCAGTGATAGAGCTCTTGCCTAGCAAGTGAGGGGACTTAGGATCAAGCCCTACTATGGCAAAAACTAAAGAATCATCTCTTATGACACCTTTCTTTGGGTTTTTCTTTATATGGCTCTTCTCTGTGCATGCCACCATTGTAGAACATGCACATTATATTGCTGCTTTTCTTTCTCTACCACAAGTGATATTTGACCCTGGGAGTTTTACTTCAGTTTCATCAAATTTGAGTTGTTTTTGTTGTTGTTATCAGAAATCGAACTCAGGACCTTGTGTTTGCCAGGCAAGTGGCAGAACCACTGGGCTAAATCCCTGGCCCAACACTTGATTTGGGGTTGGGGGTACTTGGGATCAAACTTGGGGCCTTGCACTTGTGAGGCAGCCAGTGGAACCACTGGGCTAAATCCCCTGCATAGTGTTTTTAATTTTGGTTAATTGATGTCTTAACCATATGCATCTGTCAGGCTCGAGGGCCTCCTCCATCCGTGTCAAGGGGAGTACTAATGCCTCTTTTCATCTTTTTCTTTTTCTCTTTTTGTGGTACTGGGGATCTAACTCAGGACATTGTGCTTCTGAGGCAGGCGCAGCACCACTGAGCTAAATCCTACTTTTCACACAGTACTAACTTTGGTTAACTGAACATGTGTAACAGCTTAAAGTTGGTGAATGATTAAGGTGTAAGTTTGACATGTTTCTCTTTGTTCCTGTTTCACTTGGTTAGCCTCATCTGTTTGTGCTTTGTTTATAATACTTTTTAAGATGTTGTCTATTTCACTACAATGAGCACATCTTTTTTTGTTGTTGGTTTTTCTCACTATGTAGTTTAGCCTGGCCTTGAATTTACTATGCAGTTCATGGTAGCCTCGAACTCACAGCGATTCTCCTGCCTCAGCCGCCCGAGTGCTGGGATTACAGGCCTGCGCCACCGTGCTCGGCTTACAATAAGTACATCTTAAAGACCAGTTTTTATAATAGAATTAACTTAGTTGGAGGTAGAGGAGAGAGGCACATTAATTTGGCCCACCATTTCCTGAGCCTGAAAGTACCAAAGAATTGGCCCACAACACTGCATTAAAGGTTAAATATTTGATTTGTTACAGGAAAGTAAACATAGAACCATTTTAGATTATCATTGTTTGTTTACCTTCTAGAGGATCTTTGGGAAAGTTTAGAGAACGCTAGTGGTAAACCTATAGCAGCTGTGATGAGCACCTGGACCAGGCAGATGGGATTCCCTCTCATTTACGTGGAGGCCGAACAGGTAAGTGTACACATTTCTGTCATTGCAGAATTGCTCTCTTAAACATCTTCACTGAGGTTTTGTGAGCTGTGCAGAGAATTAATTGGTTTTCACTTATGTTTCTGGTACTGGGGATGGAACTCTGGTCCTTGCGCTTTCGAGGCAGGCGGCGGCAACACTGACCTAAATCCCTGGCCAATTGCTTTTCATGTATAGGAGGACACCCTCCCCCCCAGCGATCCTGTGTTGTCTGTAAAACTATGGTTGTTTTAGAAGACTTCTCAGTGTGGCAGTATAAGTTGGCAGATTTGCTTTTTGGTATTGGAAATATTCTGGGTGACTTTTAAGCCAGCCCCTGTATTCTCATAACGTACTTAAATTTACATGGAGCATTTTAATGTGGAAGCTTGCAAGTTACTCTTGCAGAGCTGTATCTTAACTTTAAACATGAATGGGTTTTATCTAAGCATGCATCCTGGAAGTTTTTTCTGGCTGTTAGAAATACAGTTGATCCAGCGCCTGCAGCGCAAGTGCAAGGACCCGAGTTTGATCCCCGGTACCAAAAAGAAAAAAGAAAAAAGAAAGAAATACAGTTGATCATGTTTGGTAGAAAAGAATACCTTTGAGTTGAGTGGCCTACCATTGTGACCCTTCTGTTTTAGTCTTCTCTCGTACTTTTTTTTTTGGCACTGGGGAATTGAACTCAGAATGTTGCGCTTGTGAGGCAGGCGGTGGCACCACTGAGCTAACTGCCTGGCCCATTCTTCTCTGTGCACCAATGTGTTACCAGGGATGACGAGTCTCATTCACGCTGGCACTCCTTACAGACTCAGTAGTTTTCTCTTAAACTTGACTGTTTATGAGCATTAACATACAAGCTGGGGCAAGATGGCCCACGTTGTAATCCCAGCACGCAAGAGGCTGAGGGAGGAGGGTCACCACAAGTTCCAAGCCAGTCTGGACTATAGTGAGTTCAAGACTAGCCTCAACTAGTTAGCGAGACCCTGTCTCAAACAAAACAAAAAACCCATAATGAATATTAGCATATAATCTAGTCATTGTGTCTCATACCTGTACACCTAGCACTCTTGAGATTGAGGTAGGAGGATTGTGAGTTAGAGGCCAGATTGAACTACACAATGAGAGCCATATCTCAAAAAACTGGAAAATAAATTACTAGAGAAACAAAGAAGATAGTTCCTTTCATCTCTGGGGATGTCATTCTTCAAAACTATTAATCTCACTGGGTGTGGTACCAAATGCCTGTGCTCCCATCACTCAGGAGGCTGAGGCAGGAGGATTGCTGTGAGTTCGAGGCTACCATGAACTGAATAGTAAATTCAAGGCCAGGCTGAACTACATAGAGGGACCCTCTCTCTCTCTCTCTCTCTCTCTCTCTCTCTCTCTCTCTCACACACACACACACACACACACACACAGAAACAAGAAAAAAGCTGTTAATCTTGCCAGGCGTGGTGGCACAGGCATGTAATTACAGCCCTCAGGGGGCTGAGACAGGAGGATCAGCATGAAGGCAGCCTGGCCTACACAGCAAGACTCTATGTCAAAAACACCAAACCATGGGCCGGGATTTAGCTCAGCGGTGCCGCTGCCTGCCTTGCACGCACAAGGTCCCAAGTTTGATCCCCGATACCAAAAGTCAAAAACAAACAAACAAAAAACCCTGCTAATATTACTTGGAAGGCTGCATCAGGACTTTAAGTTCAAGATAGTCCGGTTAATTTGAAAACAAAAATTTTCAAAAAGGCTAGGCGTGTAGCTCAATTACAGCCCATGCATCGCAAGCATGAGGCCCTGGGTTCAATCCCCACTGCCACAAGAAGGGGGAAAAGAAAGTATTACTTTTTTTTTTGGTACTGGGATCGAACTCGGATCCTTGCGCTTGCAAGGCAGATGGTGGAACCACTGAGCTAAATCCCCAGCCCTGAAAGTATTACTATTTAATCATGACATGTAAGGAAGACTGTTTGGTCATAGGTATTTTTTTTCTTTTTTCAACAGAGCACACTTAAGAGCATAATAGTTCACCAGTTAGGTGATCAGAAGAAGCTAGATATTGTGGCTCTCCACGGTAATCCCAAAACTCTGGGTGTCTGAGGCAGGAAGATTGAAAATTTATGCCTAGCCTTGGACAGTTTAACAACTTAGCAAGGCCTTGTCTCAAAATAAAAACACTTAAAATGCTTGGGGATATAGCTCAGTGTGAAGGCTCTGTGTTCAGTCTTCAGTACGACCAAAAATCCCCAAAACAAAACAGTGATGCCCCACGGCACCTCGGCATCAGTGAAACTCAGTTAACTTTCCCATCAAGCTATGTTCAAGGCCTTGCTTTCTTTGCTTTGTTTTATTATGTCCGCGTGCACAGCCACCTCCCCCTCCATTTTACATTACAGCAGAAAGGCCAGCAGAGCACCTGCAGTCCAGCTACTTGGATGGTTAGGCAAGAAGGAGACTGCAACTGTGTCTCAGAAAATAAATAAAAATGGAGGTGGGAAGGCAGATAATGGTACAATGCTTTTGTAGCATGCGTGAGACTGGGTTCAATTTCAGGTACAACACATATGGGAAAAGGCTGTCTGTGAGTCTTTATTCTTTTAAGAATAAGAAGACCAGGGATTTAGCTCAGTGGCACTGCGCCTACCTTGCAAGGGTGTGAGTTTGATCCCCGGTACAAAAACAAACAAAGAATAGAGCTCTGCAGTATATACAGTCTTGACAATGATTTATTTCTCAGTTTATACTCCCAATTTTAAATATTTTTGCTTTAATTCTGAATCAAGCTTTCTACTTATTAAAGGAACCCTATATGGTGTAAAACTAATCAACATTAATAATTTCTTGGGCCGGGGATTTAGCTCAGTAGCAGCACACCTGCCTCACAAGCACATGGCCCTGAGTTCGATCCCCAGTACTGGAGGGGGAGCGGATTTTTTTCTCTATGGCATTAAAAGTAACCTTTGCTTTCTGAAACATTTTGTTTTTAAATCCTGTTTCTTATAGGCAGGTTATCCATGAAAGTCATTGGCCCGATTTTACATTTAATTTAGGTGATCTTAAAGCTGTTCTGTCTTGTGTGATTGGAAATTTTCTAGAGTGTAGTAACTGATGATAAAGTAAACAAATGATGCATATTGAAATATTTTTAAATGTAGGAACTTGCCATTTTTGCTTTTTTTATTATTTGCAGCACCCCCATGCACACCCTGTGTTTCATTGCAAAACTTACCCTTTGAAACAAGATATGTGCTTCCTTCGTGTTTCTAAAGCATTCCAAAACTTGCATTCTGAATCTCAGATCCACCTGCTCATCTAAAGTTGCTGCTTCTTGGAAATGCGAAGGCTAAAGCCATAACCTTTCTCTATAAAATTGAATATAACTTGCTTTATTTGTTGTACGTATCTTTGAAAATTAATATTTTGCGTTTAGAAACTTATTCTCATCTGGATACATACCCTTTTGAAGGGTCATATTATAATTTCATAGAACTAAAGCTCTTACTTAGAATATTTTTATTCCAAGGGCTGAGTGAAAAATAGTGGCTGACCACCCATTCTGTAGCATCATCGTCTCTGTCTTTGTTGCATTTGGGGGACTCAGGAGACATTTGGTCGCCCTAGCCCCATCACCTGCTTTGTCACAAAAACGTTGCCCCCCACCTAGAAAATGTTTTACTTCTTTAGGTAGAAGATGACAGATTACTGCGGTTTTCCCAAAAGAAGTTCTGTGCCAGTGGACCGTATGTCGGTAAGCGGATGACTTGGGAGTGGGAGCTGAGGGGTGAATTGGGATAATATACAATTGATCAGAAATTATTAGCCTTTTTTATAGTTTTAATAAATTTAAACAAAAAGGAGACAGTAAAAGAATAAAGATGGAATTTAAGAAATCAGAGGAGATGCACAATATATTTGTAGCTCTAGATTTTGAGAATTTCATGTCTCTGTGTTATTGCAAACTAACGCGTGAGGAGTTGGAACAGCCAAGAAATGATGTCTCAGTGCTTGAAAAGGGACTTAATGTGTGTTTGTGGTGGCAAATTCTTTTTAAATTCCTGGCCATAACAAATAAATAAATGGAACCCGGTGGTTACTTGGACTCACTACAGTGTGTGCCCGTCAGTGTGCTGAGCACTAACTTTATATTCTCAGGGTGCTTGTAATGTAGTTTTATTTCCATTTTACAGAAAATGGGAGCTGAGCCAGGCATGGTGATGCACGCTGTCAAGTCTAGCACTCTGGAGGCTGAGGCAGGAAAATCTTGCAAGTTTGATGCCAGCTTTGGGCTCCATAGAGAGTTCAAGGCCAGCCTGAATTACAGAGCGAGATCCTTTTCCCCCTCAAAAGAAAATGAGAGCTGAGGTACAGCTAGGCTAACTACATTGCTCAGCCATCTATTTAGTAAGTTAGAAGTGTGGGAATTCAAAGTATGTAGCTGAACTCCATGAGTTTATATTGTGCTCTTAGCTTCCAGTTTTTCAGATACATATCATTGCTGGGATGTAGCTCAGGGGCATCCTGCCTGCCTCACAAGTGCAAGGTGTCGTGGGGGATGTCATTAGACGCCTTTACCTAAAATTTTATGCAGGAAAATAAAGTTTAATTGAAAAAGTCAATTAGTGTTTCTGTGCTCCCCTCCTTTTCTTTAAAACAGCATTTTTCAACAGAAGGAAGTGTAATGGTTAATGATAAAAACGTGGTTATTTAAATTTTTAAAAATGCATTACAGTGGCTGTGCATAGGCGCAGCCAGGTGGGTCTGCGGGCGGCTCAGAGAGCAGAGCGTGGCTGGCGGTGCAGGCTCTCGGGGTCACCATTGCCACCAAGGCCTCTGGCCTGGTCCGCACCTTCCCGGGCTGGACAGGTCAGGCTTCGGGATGAGCAGTACTTGCCCGAGCTGGTGATGGAGAAGGACTCGCTGGACCCCTCCTCCACGCATGCCCTGCGCCTGGTGAACCAAGAAATAGAAAAGTTTCAAAAAGGAGAAGGCAAGGATGGAGAAAAGTACATTGATGTGGTTAATAGGAACTCGAAGCTGAGACAGAAAGTGTTAATTCCTGTAAACCAGTTTCCTAAGTTCAACTTTGTGGGGAAACTTGGGTCCACGTGGCAATTCTCTGAAGCGTTTCCAAGAGGAAACCTCGACAGAAACGTCCATCCTTGGAAAAGGTTCCGTGAGAGACAAGGCTAAGGGAGAAGAGTTGAGGAAAAGTGGACAGCTAAGCGCTTCCACCTCGACAACGATCCCACGTCCTCTCTGAAGTCCTCTCCCCACCCGCAGAGGAAGCTGATGCCCGCATGGGACACGCTTTGGACGAAATCAAGAAGTTTCTCGTCCCTGACTATATTTGATGAGATCAGGCAGGCACAGCTGCAGGAATCAACACATTTGAATGTGGATCAGAAGATGCAGTTGCTCCAGTAGTTCGAGGGAAACCCAGCTGCGTCCAGAGGTGTGCCAGGCCCAGCAGTGATAACCAGGGGAAGGGGAGCAGTTACAGCCCGGCCAGTGGAGTTGGGGTTCCAGAGGGACACTGACAACCAGGGGCTCCTTTCTACCCGAGGGCCAGTGAGCCGGGGAAGAGGCCTTCTCAAACCCGAGCAAGAAGAGGCCCTGCTGGGCACGGACCCCACCCGCCCCCAGCACAGGAGGCCTGTGGAGGATGTGGCTGCGGTGACCGCGGCTGCAGCAGGCCGGCCCAGAGTGGCGCTAAGGACTGCGAATGGGCAGCGGCTCAGTGAGGAGCCCACGATTCCTGTGGACGCAAGGACTGGACCAGCTCCGCACGCAAGTCCCTTAGTGAGGACAGCGAGGGGCGTCTACAGGGCCCAGCCATCGGGCAGAGACTGATCGTCCTGTCTGCTGCTGTGAGACGGCCAATCTCCACATCCTGTACCCTGTTCAAAGTAATTTTTTCTATGAACAGTCCCTTTTTAAATGTTTAACATCTGAATGGATGGAACTTTACTCTCGAAACATCAACCTGGTCAGGAAAAAAATGCATGTAAAATTTTGTTATTTCCAGTCTGTATATGAAAAAATAGGTCATCAGGGCTGGGGATTTAACTCAGTGGTTCTGCCGCCTGCCTCACAAGCGCAAGGACCTGAGTTTTATCCCCGGTACCAAAAAAAAAAGAAAGAAAAAATAGTTCATCAAAAGGAAAAAAGTAACTTTGATTAATTAACTAGTGTTAAAAACATAGGTTTACTAAATACATTAACCCATTCTTTTAACATAAGCCTCTTTCATTGTAAAGGTTTCCATAGAATTTAGTTATTTTATCTTTCAGCCTTATGCTAGTTTTTTTTTTTCCTCTCACCAGTGTGTAAAAAGGGAAGCAAATAATGTAGTATTCTTTTGTAACTCAAGCCTTGATATGTTCGGTAGCGTTAAGCAAAGTCTCCTCTTCCTTGATACTAAGTTTAAAAATTTTCTTTTTAGAAAGAAAAAAAATATTACAGTGAAAGGCACATTATCATTAATCCCACACAAAATGCTTCCCTTCACTTTAGCACATCCCATAGTTCTTGACCCCTGGTTTTTTTAGCAAAGCATTTATTGTCACATTTTACATATACGTAGTGATAACATTCATCACAGAAATTTGTACCTGTGTGTAATATCTCTGCCTCTTTTTCCCATTGCCCTCTTCCATTCCTCTTCCCCTCTTTACTTACACAAGCTTTGTTTCCATTATTTCCTCTTTTCTTGTCACTTCTTTCTTTTCCCCTTCCTCCCTCCCTTGTTCCCCTTCCCTTTTTAACATTTTCCTCCCATCACCCAATGTCTGTTATATATTTTGGTCCTTATTTACACTTACAGTTTCTCACACCAGAGAAATAATGTGATATTTAAATATGTGTGTCCAAGTTTATTTCACTTAAGAATATGGTCTCAAGTTCCATCCATTTAGCGGTAAGTGTCTGAAGCTCACCCTTCTTTATTGATGAGTAGTACTCCATTGTATTAAAAAATCCCCACATCTTTATCGATTCATTGGTTGATGGGCATTTGGGCTATTTCCAAGGTTTAGCTATTCCAAACTGTGCCTCTGTAAACATGGGTGTGCATATATCGCTGTGGTCTGATGCTTTTAATTCTTTTGGGAAGAGACCAAGAAGGGGAATAGCTGGGTCAGATGGAACCTCTAATCGTAGTTTTTTGGGGAATCTCAACACTGATTTCCACAGTTGTTGCACCAGTCTACACTCCCAACAACAGTGGAGAGGGCTCCTTTTCCTCACAGCCCCGCCAGCATTTGTTATTGATTTTTTTTTGAGAGCGTCTATTCTTTCAGGAGTGAGATCTGTGCAAAAGGTTTTTTTTTTTTTTGGTACCGGGTATTGAACTCGGTACTTGCACTTGCAAGGCAGGCCACCAAACCGCTGAGCTAAATCCCCAGCCCTGCAGAAGCTTTTTAATGAGATGAGGTCCCAGTTGTTGATTCATTGCAGTATTTCCTGTGCAGTCTGGGTTTTGTTTTTTGGGTTTTTTGATACTAAGAATCGAACTCAGGACGTTGTGCTTACAAAGCAGGTGGCAGAACCACTGAGCTAAATTACCGGCCCTTAATGTTTCTGTTGTAATATTTTTTAAACAAAACATATCTTGCTATATTTTATGGTTTTTGTTTGTTTTTATTAAATTTTATTTTATTCCATTCCCCCTCAAGCCCCCTCCACTCCCTACGTACAAAAGCTTTGTTTCCATTTTTCCCTTCTATTTTCACTTTTTCTTGTCCCTTTCTCCCTCCATGTTTTAATACTTAGATCTTTGATCCTTTTTTTTTTGGTACCACGATTGAATTCGGGTCCTTGTGCTTGTGAGGCCAGTGGCGGAACCACTGAGCCAAATCCCCAGCCCTTTTGCTCCATTTTTATTTTAGATTATTGCATGGTGAAAAACATGGGTCTAGTTTTAACCTGTGGCATGTGGAAAGCCAGTTTTTCCAGCACCATTTATTAAAGAGTCTATCGTCCAGTGAAATTGTTTGGTTCCTTTGTCAATGGTAAAATGGACTGAGGGCTGGGGATTTATTTAGCTCAGTGGTGCCACTGCTTGTCTCACAAGTGCAAGATCCCCAGTTCAATTGCTGGTACCAAAAAAAAAAAAAAAAAAAAAAAAAAAAAAGTGACTGAATATGTTTGGAATTGTTTATGCACCTTTTACTTTGTTCCTTTGTTCCTTGGGTCTGGTTTTTTTATTTGTTTATTTTTGCCAGTACCATGCTGTTTTTTATCACAGTAGTTTTGTATAGTTTCACATCAGGAATTGTGATTCCCCCTGCCTTGCCTTTGTTGCCTAGAACTGATTTTGCTATTCTTCTGGTTCCAAATGAATTTTAGGATTGTTTTCTCTAATTCTGTGAAATATTCTATTGGTATTTAGGCTGGGGTTGCAGTAAATCTGTGTAAGTTTGGGAAGTATGGGAAGTGTGGGCATTTTCACGGTACTGGTTCTTTTTTGTGCGCTTTGAGACAGGGTCTCACTATGTAGTTCAAGCTGCCCTGGAACTCACTATGTAGCCCAGGCTGGTTACATGGTTATATGCAGGAAGGCTATTGATTTTTTTGAGTCTTGACTTTATATCCAGCTATGCTACTGAATTTATTATATCTAAAAGTCTTTTGGTGGAGTTTTGGGGGTCTTCTATGTGGAGTATCATGTCATCCCGAAGTAATGATAATTTAACTTCTTTCTTTCCTGTCCTTATTCCTTTTTCTTTCTCCTGTCTTATTGCTCTGACTAATGTTTCTAGCAGTATATTGTTTTTTGTTTGTTTGTTTGTTTATTTTTTGAGACAGGGTCTCACTATGTGGTTGAGACTGACCTGGAACTCACTATGTAACCCAGGCTGGTCTCGAACTTACAGTGATCCTCCTGCCTCAGCCTCCCGAGTGCTGGGATTGCAGGTGTGTGCCATGACACCCACCTTTTAATATTCTATTCTTATGTTGAATTTCTGGAATCTTGTGTATTATATTCCTTGGTATAGGTCCCCCCCCCATCATGGCTAATTGGAATTCAATGTCTGTTATCTGTATATTATTGTTTTTCCCTGCTTGGGAAGTTTTCTGCCATTATTTCTATGAACATGTTTTTTATGTTGTTGGCAGTGTCTCCTGCTTTTTCGTCAATTCCAATCAATCTCGTGTTATTCATCTTTGTATCATCTAGCAGCTATTCATCTTTGTATCATCTAGCAGCTATTGGATTGATCTTTCATGGTCTTTTGCTATTTTTAAGAAATCTCTCTCTTCAGAGCTGGGCATGGTGGTGCACTCCTGTAATCCCAGCACTCAGGAGGCTGAGGCAGGAGGATCGCTGTGAGTTCGAGACCAGCCTGGGCTACAGAGTTGAGTTCCAGAGCAGTCTGAACTACATAGTGAAACCCTGTCTCAAAAAAGGCAAAAACAAAAAAAAAGGAAAAAAAAGAAAAAGAAAAAAATCTCTCTTGTCTCTTTTCGTAGTCACTAACTGCAATCCTGTCTTCTATGTCTGATATTCTGTCCTCACATTGGCTTATCTGCATATTATTTCCATGGAATTTTTAATCTCTTGGATATCAGTTTGAATCTGTTTCATGGATTCCATTTCTTTCCTATGTTGGATGGTCATGGTTTCCATCATTTTCCTAAGTTCCCCTTATTTTTTTTTTATCTGTATCTGCTCTAGAGTCACTAATCATGTTTTTCATTATGGTCACCATCTCTGGTTATCTGAGAAGCTACTTTTTGATTTGATTTTTTTCTAGAGTCTCATTCATCTGCTTTGTTACTTCTGCTGTTCCCACTTCAGAGAGTCCAGGTGGGTGGGTTTCTGATTGTTCTACTTCATTGTTCCCTGGGCTTGCCTTTGGTGAGATGGAAGTTTAGGGCTGCATCTTGCTTATGTGTCTTCTCACTTACTTACCTCTTTTTGTTGTTGTTCCTGGTTTGATGCTTGTAAATTGCTTATGGCAGTAGCTTTATTGCTAGTATTTGGAACCCTTAGGAAATGACTACTTCTCAGTGATGTTTTCCAGGTGTAGCTTGCTTTTGGGTTTTGAATGTGTTGCACCTTAATGGTGATGATAAGGTGCTGCCCATTTGGCCCAGCCTCTGATTCCTTAACATTGGGCAGTAGTATTATTTATGACCCTTATGCACTCTTAGTCTTGGCAAACCAGAAAGAACAACTGATTAAAACAATTATGCCACCTTGCCTATAGTAGTACAATCAACAATAACAATAGCATCAAAGGCAACCTAAAAATGACAAAAGTGTGATAACAACTACTGATTTTCCACCTTTAACTGTGTGACCTAGATTTCCAGTTAAACAATAAATGTAAACCAAACCAGAAAATTGTATGCAGTAAATGTGCCCTCAATATGGCGATTTTACCCTCAGGAGAAAATTTAAAAGGGGCTACCCAGCAGGGTGGCACATGTCTAATCCCAGTACTCAGGAGGCTGAGGCAGAAGGATCACCATGAGTTTGAGGTCAGCCTGAACTACATATTAAGATCCTGTCTTGAAAGAGGCAGGAGTTAGAGGAAAAAAACAGGAATTGAAGAAAAGGAAGAGATTAGAAGCAAGGTTGGAGGACAAAGAAAGTGCAAACTTTGGAGAACTGCTGAAGATGGAAAGAAAAGGAAGAAATAAAAATAGGAACAAAACAACAAAAAACTAGAAGCATTGTTCACCGTTATATTAAGACAGGAACAATCAAGAAAGAAAAATAAATGAAAACAAAACCAAAAAAGGAAAATAAAATAAAATAAATTGTCCACTTCAAGTCATCTCTCTGCTGTCGTTGTTACCCTAACTATGGCACACAGAGCCCAGATCTGTGTTGATTGATCTCAACAAGCCAGCCATAGATTTATGGCAGGGTAGTGGATAATCCCAGCAAGCCCACACCTTTAGTTGTGAAGCTCAGGCTGGCTTCTGGCTTTGAGGCTGGAACCCAATTTGTTCAGCCTCCAACACATGTCTCATTGCTGGCTTAAACTTGACTCCTTTACCTCCTGCTGACTTGAACTCGGTTCTGCCTCAGTCTGATGGACGCACCCAGCCCATAGTTGCTTTTGAGTTCCAAGCTCAGCCTCTCCAAGATGGCTCCTGGCCAATTGCCCTCGCCTGGGGGACATCTGAACCCAAATAACTCACCAGACACTGCAGTCCACTGTGTCCACTGCTATTCCACTGGTGCATCTCTCTGTGGAGGCCTCTGGGGTTGCCGGTAGTCACCACGTGCCTGCATGTTTGAGCAGCCCTTCCCACACAGAAAGTGGCACGTACTTACCACCTCCTTCTTCATTGAAGTCTCTTCGCTCTCCCCATGGGCTTCAATTGTCCCTTCGGGTCCTTGCTGGCTCCCAGGGACCCACTTCCTGACTTCTCTTCCTCCCAGTGCTATATGTAGCATCTGGATGCCAAACTGTTTCTCTGCTGTTCACCACTCTGCCATCTTTCCGAAAGTCTCTGAGATTGCAGTTGTTATTGACGTGTACAGATATATCAGATATATGCCATTCTTTTCTTAGGCTTTAAGCCTCATAATAAGAGCAAATATAAGAGATCTGCTGAGTGTCATGGACTGCTGACTGCCATCATCAGATGTTAGATGTGTCCTCAACCACCTTATTCACCAGATCTATTACCATGGCCTCTTCTCAAAGTCTAAATGACCAGAAAGGTAAATGGTGTGAATTGGCTCAGGACATTGAAACAGCCATGACAGAACAACTCAAGACTTGAAAGAAGACTTCCAGACCTGCATCAGAAAGTGGCAAGAGCCAGGCATGGTGATGCACAGGTATAATCCCAGCACTTGGGAGGCTGAGGCAGGAGGATTGCTGTGTCAGGACAGCCTCAGGTTCATAGTGAGTTTGAGGTCAGACTGAGCTGTATAAAGAGACCTTGCCTTGAAAAAAGAAATGGCAAGAATGATATGTGTGTTCATTGCGAGGGGAGTGTTTTGAGGAAGATTAATAAATGTCTTTTTTTTTTTTTTTGGTACCAGGGATAAAACGTGGGACCTTGTGCTTGCAAGGCAGGCTGTGGAACCACTGAGCTAAACCCCTGGCCCAGCAATAGGTCTTTTACTGTAATAATTAAAAAAAAAAAAATTTAGCCGGGCGTGGTGGCTCACGCCTGTAATCCCAGCACTCAGGAGGCTGAGGCAGGAGGATTGCTGCGAGTTCGAGACCAGCCTGGGCTACAAAGTTGAGTTCCAAATCAGTCTCAACTACATAGTGAGACCCTGTCTGGGGGGGAGGTTAACCATTCAGTTTTTGTTTTATTTTGAGACAGGGTCTCACTATATATTTCAGGTTGGCCCTGAACTCACTATATAGCCCAGGTTGGTCTCAAACTCATGGCAATGATCAGCCTCCCAAATGCTGGGATTACAGGCATGCACCACAACACCTGGCTCATTCACTGTATTTTTAAATCACACCTCATGTATGTCCCAGTCACCAATGGCTTGTCATGTTCCACCCACAAAGATTTGATACATCCCACTTATGGCTAAGAAGTGTGATCTTGGACCCTTGACCCTCCTTAACTTTAGGGATCATTAACTGTAATACATAGGCCTGACAGTCAGATGATGGGTTTATTGCCCAAGTGGAGCCTTGCCTGTCACACTTGCTGTTTTCTGCCTCCTGTCTGTAACCTGCATTGTAGTACTGAGAGGTTTCGCAGGTTTTTCTAATGCTCTGTGACCAATACAGGCAACATTAAAACCTCTTATAGAAGCAAGGCATGGTGGCGCACACCTGTAATCCCAGCCCTTGGGAGGCTGAGGCAAGAGGATTGCTGTGAATTTGAGGCCAGCCTGGGCTACATAGTGAGTTCCAGGCCAGTGTGGACTACATAGCAAGACCCCGTCTCAAAAAACAAATCTGGAATGGTTTAGTGAGGGGAGAGGGATTTAATCTGTGGTTCAGTTTCATAACCAGGCTATATAACATTAAGTACGTTAGCTGTAAACTTGCTGTATACTAGCTATGTGCTTATATTGATATACTGGGCAAGGGCTCCCTTTTGTTTGGCATCTTAATGCAATGTCTGTTTTGCTGTCTGAGCTCTCAAGTGCATTTCTGCCACAACATGTGATTCCTCAAAGATGGGTGGGCCCTGCCCTCACAGCCATTAACGTCAGCCTTTGGTGGCCTGGTGCAGTGGTGCGCTTCTATACCCAGTGCTTTGAGAGGCTGAGGCAGGATTGATTGCAAGTTTGAGTCCAAACCAGGCAACTTAGCCAAACACCCTGGCTCAAAATAAAAGATTTTTTAAAAGGGCTGGGGATGTAGCTAAATGCAAAGGCGCTGGGTTCACGCTCCAGTACATTCCACATAACACTCAAAAGTCATCCCTTGAGTGCTTTGGTAGTGTGTATACCTGCCTAGAATTGGATCTTTAAGTTTAAGTCATTGCATTTGGTATTGATTCCATAAGTGACTTTTTAACTGTTCTTTTATTTTAGACTCTGATTTTGTTAGTACATTGTTCATTCCTCTGCGCTAATATTCAGGTTCCCTGTAGAGTTGCTATAGCTGAAAGAAGGAGCTTTTGGCTTCATGCTTGCTCTCAGGCCCCTGCCCATCAGTCCCTTCTCCCCATTTGACCATCAGTTTCTGCTAGTGTAAAATTATTTTCCAAGTTTTCCATTTGTTCTTCTCTTGTTTAGGAGAAGACTGTCCTCAGTGGATGGTTCCCATCACAATCTCTACTAGCGAAGATCCCCACCAGGCCAAACTAAAAATCCTGATGGATAAACCAGAGATGAGTGTGGTATTGAAAAACATCAAACCAGACCAGTGGGTGAAGGTGAGTCCAGAAATGCCACAGCTATTTCATCTTTCCTGTCTTGGTTTCTTTCTCTCACTCCTGGATTTAATGACTGTCTCTGTGTTTACTGCTTTGGTTTAGATGAGGATTTTGAAAGAAAATATTTCTCTCATTCTGGCACTCGGGAGGCAAAGGCAGGATGATCACCACAAGTTTAAGGCCAGCATGGATGATTATAGCAAGATCCTGTCTGAAAAAGAAAAGAAAACAGGGCCGGGATTTAGCTCAGTGGTGCTGTCTCCTGCCTCACAAGTGCAAGGTCCCCAGTTCCATCCCTGGTACAAAAAAAAAAGAAAAGAAAAGACGTTTCTAACCCTTTGTGAAATCTCAAGCCAGTTTTCAGATAGTGGAGTCCAGTGATTTTCAGTGATAGCTAAGCACAGAAAAAGGGGTACGACTGAAGGGGAAAATAGAAAATAGAGTCACATTAACCAAGACATTTGTAGTCTTGCAACTTCCAACTGCCTTCCCATTATAACAACACATTAGCCTCAGAGATGCGGTCATCACATGTGAACAGCTGTAATCAAGAAAGACCAGAATGTGTAATCATCACTTTGTGTCAGTGAAATGTGGAATCCCTCTAGCTAGTGTTTAAAAACCATTTCCCAGGGCCGGGGATTTAGCTCGGTGGCACTGCATCCACCTCGCAAGTGTTAAGTCCTGAGTTTGAACCCTGGTACCAAAAAAAAACTACAGAGCAAAACCATTTCCCAAAAGTACCAGAGGGTCTGCCTCTTTTTCAGTCTTTTCTGAGATAGGGTCTTGCTAGGTAGCTCAGGCCGGCCTGGAACTTACAGTGATCCTCCTGCCTCAGCTTCCTGAGTGTTGGGATGACAAACGTATGCAACTGTGCAGCTTCTGTACTGTCTTAGTAAAAATATTTAGTGTAATCTCTTTTCACAATTGTAGATTCCTAATGGGAGCTATATGTTGTCTCAGATTTTCATGCTTTCCTTTTGTTTTTGTTTTTTGAGCCAGAGTCTCACTGTATAGGTTTAGGCTGTCCTTGAACTCACTATGTAGCTCAGGCTGGCCTTGAACTCATGGCAATCCTCATGTCTCAGCCTGAGTGCTAAGCATACTGGTGTGTGCCACCACCCCAGCCTTTTTGTTTGTTGGTTGGGTTGATTTGGTTCGGTGTTTTGGTTTTTTTGAGACAGTCTTACTCTGTAATTTAGGCTGTCCTTGAACTCAGTGTGTAGCCCAGGCTAGCCTCAAACTCGTGATCCTCGTCCTACAGCCTCCTGGATGCTGGGATTACACGTATGCTCCACCATGCTCGGCTGAGCTTAAAAACAAGCCATTTCTTCTGTTTTGATGTTTAAAATATACTCAGTAGGATATTATGTCAAATTATGATTTGGACCTGGGCATGGTGACACATGCCTGTAATCCCAGCACTTAGGAGGATGAGACAGGAGGATCACCAGGAGTTGAAGGCCAGCCTGAGCTACATAGCAGGACCCTGTCTCAGAAGAAAAGAATGTGGAGCCGGGATTTAGCTCAGTGGCACAATGCTTGCCTTTCATGTGCAAGGTCCTGAGTTTGTTCCCCACTATTAGAAAGAAACAAAAAAAAAGAATGATCTGGAAGATTAAGTGGTAAAATGAGAAGTTTCTTGTAAGCCAGCCATGGTGGAGCACCTCTGTGACCCCAGGGCTTGGGAGGCTCAGGCAGGAGGATCGCTGTGAGTTTAAGGCCAGCTTGGGCTGCATTGTGAGTTCAAGGCTGGCCCGAACTATATATAGCAAGACCCTGTCTCAAAAAAATAAATAAACAGTAAAAATTTCTTGTAAGTGAAAAGAAAGTTGTGTCCATTATGCGTATAAGTAAATAAAAGTGTTATGTATGCCTATGGTAAAAGTTAAGGGGATCAATAAAATAATAGTTGTTAGAAATATGGAGTGGTTTTATGTATGGAAATAATTGTATATAAGTAGTAAAGTATTTATATCTTATTACTTTGCTACTAGTCACACACATAAATATTTTTTTAACTATTTTTTGGTTGTTTGTCAATAGCCTATGGGGAATAATTGCCACCCTCTCACTCCAGGAGTCAGATGAATCTGCCCTTACTGCATCTTTCACCCAAGTAACATGATGGAATTTGTTGCTTAAAGGACCTCGTTTTGCCTGGAGTGTCTGAAACTTAATTAGAAAAATATGATTCTTCCTGAAGATTAAAATTCAGAATCAGACAGTTGTTAGTGTGTCGGGGCTCTAGGCTCCGAGATGCTACTGTTCATTTGCTTCAGACATGTAAATATCTGTGATCCTGAAGCCGCTCTCCCGGGTAGGGCTAGAAGCCTCGTCATGTTTTCCCTTCCCTGGTGCTCTTCTCCCTGTCCCACTCCTTGGCACACTATCGCAAGTGTCTGTTTTCTACCCTACGCGCTGTGTGTATTAATTCCTGTCTGTTAGCGTGAACAGCATGTGTTGTTTTCATCCAGATGTATGTAAAACCAGAATTCATTTTACATATATAAAGGCCTGATTTAGAAAATAAATCGGAAGTCTGTCAGAATGCCTGTTGGTTATCTTTTCAGTTAAACCTCGGAACGGTTGGGTTCTACCGGACCCAGTATAGCTCCGCCATGCTGGAAAGCTTGTTACCAGGCATTCGGGACCTTTCCCTGCCCCCCGTGGACCGTCTGGGGTTACAGAACGACCTCTTCTCCTTGGTGAGCATCTCTGGCTTCAGTGAGCCAATGGATTTTGTTGATTAAAGGGTCTTGCTTTTCCTGGAGTATCTGAAACCTCATTAGAATACGGCTCTTCCTTTGGATCGAGCACAGATGACAAATTATTGCTTAACTAAGATGGAACCTGTGTAATTTGCCAGAAACAGGTTTCACTACACCTAAGCTAGTTTTTTGGGGGGTTTTTGCTAACTATCTTTAGTTAAGTTCTTTCATTTCAATAGACACAGATATGAGCTTTGGGGAAATTTCCCTACTGATACATTTTTTATACAATTCAGAGTGATTTTATGTTCCTCTAAAGTAATAGTTGTACTTTGCTGGGAAAGCTAGAATTTTTTTAACGTTCTGCTATTACTCAAACTATAGAAGATAAGTTTCAAAATTAATATTTGTATTTGGCTTTGTTTCATAAAGGATTTAGAGAGCAATTAGAATTATGTGCTCGTGCCAGGCGTGGTGGCACACACCTGTAAACCCAGCCTTTAGGAGGCTGAGGCAGGAGGATCACCATGAGTTCCAGGTCAGCCTGGAATACATAGTGAGTTCAAGGTCGGCCTGAACCATATAACAAGACTCTGTCTCAAAACAAACAAACAAACAAAAAATAAGTCTGTACTTGTTATGACTCCAACACAGGCTAGGCACTTTTTGGATGTCTTTGACAATGATGAAATTGTTCCTCCTAGTTTTCCTTTAAATTGGATTTGAAATCCTACCTGCCCTCTGCAGTCACTGGTTTTGGACCCCTCTGTGTAATCACAGAACAGCACTGATGCACCCAAGCCGCTCTGCTGAGCTGCTCGCGAGTGAGACCCATCTCCGGAGCGCAGGCTCTTTCTTTCTGGGAACTTAGTTCTCTAATGCTGACAGGACCCTGAATCTGAGGCTCCTTCCAGTTTGTGCTCTTTTAGAAATGAGTCAGGGAGAACTGAAGTTATCACAGTTTGCAGGTCCAACTTTGAAAGAGCCTCTGTCAAGAAGCAAAGCCTCAACTATTTTTGCAGAAAGTATGAAAACAAAAACAAAGCCAAGCAAGGCCTGAGAACCTGAGTAGGAAGAAGAAATTAACTGGTTTGTTGTTGTTCCCTAGTTAAGGGAGCATAGTGTCATTTTTTAAGTTATTTTATAAATAGCAAAGAAATAAGAGATGATATCATAATAGCATTTTTATTCTAATAGCATTCTTCAGATGTTAATTTCTAGTCTCATTTCCTTAAACCAGAAAGTTATTAGCAGTAGATAATGCTGAAAATAACATGCTTGCTTGCTTGGTTTTGTTCGAAGACGAGGTTAATTTGTGTTTTTTCCTATCCCAGGCTCGAGCTGGAATCATTAGCACTGTAGAGGTTCTAAAAGTCATGGAGGCTTTTGTGAATGAGCCCAATTATACTGTGTGGAGCGACCTGAGCTGTAACCTGGGGATTCTCTCAACCCTCTTGTCCCACACAGACTTCTATGAGGAAATCCAGGAGTTTGTGAAAGACGTCTTTTCACCTATAGGGGAGAGACTGGGCTGGGACCCCAAGCCTGGAGAAGGTAATGAATGTACTGATTTCAGAGAGTCAGTTCTGAGCCTGTAATTTAGCCCAGTGGTGCCACTGCCTGCCTCACAAGTTCAAGGATCTGAGTTCGATCCCTGGTACCAAAAAAAAAAAAGTAAACAAAGAGTCAATTAGGAGTTGGTGCTTTTCTCTTCATCTGTAGTTAATGGTTTAATTAGGCTGGGACTTAGCCCACCCAGTGATAGAGCTCTTCCCTGGCATGTGTGAGGCCGGGGCCCAGTCCCGAGTGCTCCCAAAGCGCACAAGGGAGTCTTTGTGTACCACTGGGTGTTACTGTGTGTTCACCTAGCCGGAAATGAAGATGTGAGTCTGACCCTGCAGGGAAACTTACACGGGTCGCCACATAGAAATAGCAGTGCTTATGTATGCTCCTGGCTAAATAGGGTTTGTGTGCAGTGCTGGAAATAAAGATCTTCTAGAGTTCCAAAGGTCCATTTATACTCCAGAAAAGTAGAAGGGAATTTCAAATGGTTTAGGTTACATAAACAGCAGGCACCTTATGTTTATGTTACTGTGAATACCAGGCATCTTGCAAAGTGCTAAGAGACACAGGGACTTACTTTCTAAATGAAGGAAATTACTTGCTTTCTGTGTGTTTCTCTCCCATGATTATTTCTGTAGTCGTGTGTTTTCTCTTTGTGATGTTGTTTAAATGTTGAGAGTGGTGATTTGAAGGCTTTCAGTGTAATTGCTCTTACTGTCTGCTAATAACTAAAGGTGCTCTTTGTCCTGACAAATCTTAATGTGGGAGCCTTCGGAGTAAGGGTAGCAGTGGCTGTCACCCCGTCTGGTTCATTGATCCCACAGTATTTATGCAGCCGTCCTACAGGATGGCAGTGCAGGAGGGGGCACTAGGTTGGTTACCGTGTACCTTGTGCTGGGTCGGCAGGTATCCTAAAGAGAAATGAAGCCGCAGCTAAGTGAGGAGGGCGAGGCCACTGTGGATGTTATAAAAAGTGGGTGGGGAAACCATCACTGAGAAGGCGATCTGTGGGTGTGAGGTGTGAGGTGTGAGGGTGTCGGGGAAGTGAGTAGCAGACATAAAGGGACAGGACTGGCTCGGTCGGTGCGAGTGAACGAGGAGCAAGGGACACGGGAAGCAGATTGGACTCCGGGGAGGGTCTCACTTTCGCATTTGCGGGTAGGAGAGCCTGTAGGGCTGTGGGCCGAGGAGCTCGATCGGGTGTGCAGGGCTGGCGCAGGCTCTTCTCCATAACCGCCTTGGCGCTGCTCGCACCGGCACGGACAGGCAGTGAGTTTTGTGCACATTTGGCGGCAGACTGGTGCAGAGGTCATCGGAGACTGCCGCAGAGCACTCTGGGGGCGAGGTGAGCAGGAGTTTGTTTGGGGCGCAGTAATTTGTCATTTGAGATACCCAGGCAGGCAGGATGTACGTTTGGGAGACCACCGAGAGCAGTGGAAGGGAGCCTGCGGCTCACACACCACGTCCGGCTATTGGTCGTTGAAAACTCTGAAAGGTTCGTCATCACTGACTCAGGGTGTATAGGTCGGAAAGCGAGTTCTGAGATCTGGATCCCAGGACTTAGAACAGGAAGAGTGGGAAGGAGGCTGACTGCCGGGTGAGTCAGGAGGGCCTGGAGGAGAGGGGTCCCGGGGCCCGGGGTGGTGGTCGTGTGAGGGACAGTGACCTGTCAGGGCTGTGCGGTGCTGCTCTGAGTCAAGGAAGGGCGTGTTTCAGAGGTCCTGTGTGCTGGGGACCACGTGGGCTTCCATGGTGGGGGGGAGTGGGGACAGCGCCTGTACAAACTCATGAAAGGGGTTTGCTAAGAGGGGGTTAGAGAAAGGGGCGTAACCTGAGTGATGTGGGGTCACGGAAGGAATTCCTTTTTTTTTTAATTAGAAGTGTTTTGTTTGGTTTTTGGTACCAGGGATTGAACTTGGAACTTTACGCTTGCGAAACTGGCAGTGGAACCACTGAGCTAAATCCCCGGCCCTAGAAGTGTTTTTTTTTTTAGAGTTTTTGTTTTTGCCAGGGATTTAGCTCAGTGGCGCTGCTGCCTGCCTTGAAAGCACAAGGACCCAAGTTCAATCCCCAGTACCAAAAAAAAAAAGATAGAAATTATTGAGCAGGGGATTTTGCTTAGTGGTTCCGCTATCTGCCTTGGGAGCCCAAGGGCCTGAGTTCGATCCCCAGTACCACCAAAAAAAAAAAAAAAAAAAAAAAAAAAAAAAAAAAAAAAAAAAAAAAAAAAAAAAAAAAAAAAAAAAAAAAAAAAAAAAAAAAAAAAAAAAAAAAAAAAAAAAAAAAAAAAAAAAAAAAAAAAAAAAAAAAAAAAAAAAAAAAAAAAAAAAAAAAAAATTAAAAGTTTTTGTTTTTTTCAGTATTGGAGGTTGACCCCAAGGTCTTCACACTGTGCCACATCCCCACTCCTTTTTTATTTTTCATTTTGAGGCATGGTCTAAGTCGTTAAGTTGCCCAGGCTGGGCTCAAATTTGGAATCCTCCTGCCTCAGCCTCCCATAGTGCTGGGATTATAGGTGTGCAACATCTTGCCCAGCTATGAAGTGGAAGATTGTGTCCCATTTTTTCCAGTAAAAATAATGTGATGATATTTTAAGTGTGTATTTTAAAAAAATAAAAAATGTGTTGTGAGGAAGTGGAGCAGGGTTGTTGCTGGAGTCTCAGTGAGTGAGCAGGGTGCAGGGGCACACAGTAGGGGTGGCTGCTGACAGGACTGTGGGTCCTCAGAGATGGGCCAGGAGAGTGCCAGTGCCGGGATCTGGGGCGTCATGCTGCTCTCTCATGATGAGAACATGCGAAATCTTTTGAACTCAAAAGTGATCCTGGGGCTGGGGATTTAGCACAGTGGTTCTGCTGCCTGCCTCACAAGCACAAGGACCAGAGCTCAATTCCTGGTACCAACAAAAGATCTAGGGAAAATGCCTCTAGTTTTCCAGCTGTGCAGATGTGAGAATAAAATACTAAAACATGCTTTGCATCACACAGCAAGTCAGCACCAGAGTTAGTACAAGACCCAGTTGTAGCCGGGTGTGGTGGCACATGATTGTCATCCCTATACTCTGGAAGGCTGATGCAGGAAAATTGCAAGTACAAGCCCAACCTGGGCAGTTTAGCAATGTAGAGATACCCTGGCTCAGAATAAAAAAATAAAGAAGAGCTGTGGATGTAGCTCAGTTTTAAGGCCATGAGTTCATCCACAGTACTGCCAAGAAGCACCACCACCACCACAACAAAAAGTGGTTATAAATTGCTTCTTACAGTAAATGTCAGAATACCGTCTACGAATCTTGCTCTCCCAGTCAATTTTCCTAAACTTATCTTCTACTGAGTTATGATTTAAATATAGCAAAATGCATAATTTCAGTGTTCCAGTTGAGTGACTTTTGACAAATGCACACAGTTCCATTCCCCAGAAACCCGGGCTTCCTGCTGAGTCTCTGCGCCTGTGCGCCCCACCCTCCACAGCTTTCCCACGTGGTGAATGAAATCAAGGGATGTGGGTTCTGTTCTCACACCTGGCTTCTCTCAGTCAATATAATGCTTTTGAGAGACATCCAGGTTGGTTATTCCTTGTTATTGCCAAATAGTATGTCATCGTGTGGTCGTAGTGCGTTTTATTTACCTGTACTATTGTGACCCATCAGATTGCTGTACTAATACTTTTGCGAGGTGAGATCCACACGCCATGTGATGAGTCTTTCCGAGCGCACGGTTGGTTCGGCGGCTCTGCATATGCTCAGGAGGCTGTGCAGCCATCCCCCGTCTCAGCTGAGCACAGTTTCGGGGCCGTGTGCCCACTGGCAGTCACTCTCTTCCTGGGACCCTCGGATCCGTCTCCTGGTTTGCTTGTCCCGGACACTTCATGTAGATGGGGTTGTGCAGCGCGTGTCTTTGTGCCTGGCTCCTTTCACGTTTTCCCAGTGCACCGTGCTGTGCGTCTAGCAGTGTCCATCGCTTTCTGCGGTAGCGTAGCATTCCACACAGCACATTTCCTGTATCAGTCCATGGCACTTGGGTTGGCCCCACGTTTTGGCGATAGTGAATTATTCTAGGAACGTTTGCGTTTGGTGTGACGCATGCTTTCATTTCTCTTGAGTAAACACTGAGAGTGAAATTGCTAGATCATGCGATAGGCCCAAACTGCTCTTCTCAGTGCCCACAGCACCTCGCGCTCCTCCTGGCAGAGCCGAGAGCCCCAGCGCCCCCGTACCCTTGCCCGCACTTGCCATTGTCTGACCTGATTACAGCTGTGTTATGGGCGTGAAGTGCTGTCTCGCGGTGGTTTGCATCCCCGTCTCCCTAATGACAGTGATGTTGAATGCCTTTTTACGTGCGTACGTAGGCCCATGTGTGCGGGCTTCTGGACTTTGAGTCATCTCTGCAAGACGTCACCTTGCTCTCACGTAATCTTTCATGGGGTAATTAACTAGCCAGGGTGAGAGTGTAAGAACTTCAAAGGGTTTGGAGTTGTGAGTCAGATAACTCTGTGTAAGTCAAGCTGGCCTTAAACCCACTGTGTACCCCAGTCTGGCCTTGAACGCACTGTCCTTCTGCCTCAGCCTCCCAGGTTGCCAGGCGTGTGCCAGCACACCGGGTAGGAGATCACACGTGTGACCGTGATGAAGTCAGCAAAGTCGTTTGCTGGTCTGGTCTGTCTAGTGCACCCTTCCCTCTTAGGACTCAGTAAACTCAAATCAAGTTTCTCTCAAGTATTAGGGTATTGTGTTTGTTCAGATTGTAGGTTTGCTTTAACACAATTATAAAATATTGAGGTCAGTCATGTTGTTGCATGCCTGTAATCCTAGCACTCAGGAGGCTGAGCCAGGAGGGTTGCAGTGAGTTCAAGGCCAGCCCGAACTACCTAGCAAGACCTTGTCTAAAAAAAACAAGAAAAATTCAAATGGTAAATTCTTAACCACACATTTTAAGTAGTCCTGTGTCTTCTACTTCTTGATCAGGTCATCTAGATGCACTCCTAAGGGGCTTGGTTCTGGGAAAACTAGGAAAAGCAGGACATAAGGCGACGTTAGAAGAAGCCCGACGGCGGTTTAAGGACCATGTGGAAGGAAAACAGGTTCTCTCTGCCGATCTGAGGAGTCCTGTAAGTCTGGGCATCGGTCCCTTGACTTCTGGGCGCTGCTGCACTCTGTGGAGCCAGAGCTTCTTTAATAGTAACCAGGTCTGGCTCCACTGGAGGACATGGCTTGCGGGGGCTGTCACAGCCGTGAGCTCTGTCACCACGCATCCTCGCCCCCGGGGCTCTCGAGGCTCTGGCTTCTTGTGGGGGTCTGTGCAGGCTGTACTTGTACATGCGGCTCTTACAGTTATCGTTTCACCTGCTTGCTCTGTCTTGTCTTACGTTAGAATATCTGAAACAAGACTCATGGACTGAAATGACCTCTGTTCCTCTGTTCTCTTGTAGGTTTATCTGACTGTTTTGAAGCATGGTGACGGAGCTACCTTAGATGTCATGCTGAAGGTGAGCAGGTGTGGAACTGGTCCCCTTTTCCTGACTTTGAACACGACGGACACAGAGTGTAGCTTTAAATGGTATTGAAAAATCTTCTGGCAAATGAAATACATGCATATTGCAGCCATGCAAATATGAGAAACTATAGGAGCTGTGGGTGTAGCTCATTGGTACAGTGCTTAGCTGGCATGTGCAAAGACCTAGGTGCCATCCCCAGCGCCAGAAAAGCGGGTACAGTGGTACACCCCTGTAATCCCAACTTCGCAAGAGGCTGAAGTGAGGGAGATTGTAAATTCAAGGCCAGCCTGGACAACTTGGCGAGGTCCTCTCTCTCAGAAAAAGCCAGGGAACGGAGCTCCGAGGTGGAGCTCTGGGCTGGCGCGCACGAGGCCCTGCTTCCAAAGGAGTTGGGGCACAGAGGCATGATCATTTGTCTCGGGTTTTGAGCTGTGCTGGGTCCCTCATAAATGAAGAGGAAATAAACTCGCCCTCGTAGCCCCTCTCATCTCCTCAGGATAATTGGCCTATGTTTAACTCAAGCCTAGGCAAAATACAGAGAAAACTTTGTATGTCTTTATAATGGTAGCAACCTATTTAAAGGTTTGTTCTGTTTTGCAGTAGTAGGGATTGACCCCAAGGCATTCACAATAGCTGTAATCCCACCCCCTTTTCTATTTTAAACATTGATTTATTTTATTAATTTATTGGTAACAGGTTTCAAACTCATGACCTTGTACTTGCAAGGCCGGCGCCGGAACCACTGAGCTAAATCCCTAGCCCTTGTATTTTTTTATTTTGACAAAAGTCCTCCTAAGTCACTATTCCCAGGCTGGGCTCAAATTTGTGATCCTCCTACCTCATGAAAGTTTGAATTAACAGTAATACTGTGGAACAAGTGCTGTCTCTAGTGCCTGTCCATTATGGCCAGTCTATAAGGAAGTTACTTGTCTGTCTGGAGACCCAGCCTACCTGTCATCAGATAATTGAGCCTAATACCCAAATCATCTGTCAGACCTATAAAATCTACTTATTAAAAGATCCACCCTGTGTCAGGGATATAGCTAAGTGGCGCCCTGACAAGTGCAGGTCCTGAGTTTGATTCCCAGTACTGAGGGGGAAAAAATAAAAGATCCACACCTAGGGCCAAGTCCCTAAGGTTCTTAAGTGTTACTTAAATTAAAATAAAATTGGGATGTATAGAAAAACATAAACTTTAGGAAACTATTGCTCAAAGTATATCACTATACCCATGTCATGCATGGGTTTCTTTTTTTGGTGTTTTGAGACAGGTCCCTGCTATATATATAGTTCAGACTGGCCTTGAACTCCCAGTGACCGTCCCGCCTCAGCGTCCATAGTTTGTGGGATTACAGTCGTCTGCCACCATGCCTGGCTCCCTTTACACTCTTAATGGTCTGTAACTAATAGGAATGAAATGCATATAAAATGGGCTGCTCTGTGGTTTCTTAGTCTTTTCTGCAAATGTGTGGGACATAGTAGAAGTTGTGAAATTTTTGTGGCTGAGATGGCATTTTCATGTCGTGGCACACTTTGAAGAATTCATACCGGTGTGTGTGGTTAAGAGATTTTGCATTTAATACAAGGGCGCTCTCAGTATTTAGCATCACTATGGAAAAGGTGGAATCGGGGTTCTTCCAAGAAATTACATGGTGAAGGATGAAGATTGTTTTCTTTTGGTAAATGTCGGGATGAGACGAGACTTTAAATGTTGGGGTACAGTGCCATCTAGTGGAGCTTTTTTTGAGATAGGATCTTCTATGCAGTTCAGGCTGGCCTGCCTCAGCCTCCCAAGTCCTGGGATTATTGCATGCACCGCCATGCCTGCCTTGAAATATTTTTAAAATATAACTCTCTTATTTTTTTGGTACCGGGGATCAAACTTGGGACCTTGCACTTGCGAAGCAGGCAGTAGAACCACTGAGCTAAATTTCCAGCCCTAAAATGTAACTTTCTTTTTTTGGTTTGGTTTGTTTTTTGTTTGTTTGTTTGTTTGTTTTTTGAGACAGGATCTCACTATGTAGTTGAGGCTGACCTAGAACTCACTATGTAGCCCAGGTTTGAACTCACAGCAGTCCTCCTGCCTCAGCCTCCCGAGGCATGCCTGGGATTACAGGCATGCACCACTGTGCCCGGCTTGTAACTTTCATAATGCACATTTTTGGGCTGGGGATTTAGCTCAGTGGTTCCACCATCTGCCTCGAAAGCACAAGGACCTGAGTTCGATCCCCGGTACCAAAAAAAAGGTAAGTAATTACAATAATCAGTTGTTGAACATTTAGATGTTTAGTTTTCACATTCTTATGAATTAAATTGATGCCCTTAATGGCATAAATAAGATTACTAATTATTAGTTTGTTCAACTCTTAACAGAACATTAGCCAGATACCGGTTATGTAAAGAATTTGCCCATGACAGATTTACTTCTTAGATATTAATACTAAAGCTGCTGAGAACCGGTGCCCAGTGTTCATCTTGTGAGTGCCTAGATCTGGAACACTGTGTCGGCAGTCAGTGCCTGACAGCCATCCTCGTGGGTTTAACTGGGAATTGAACCCAGGGCCTTCCCACTGAGACACATCTGCAGCCCACTTCATTTTATTTTATTTTTTGAGACAGTCTTGCTAAGTGGCCCAGTCCAAGTTCTGACTTGTAATCCTCCTGCCTCAGCCTTCTGAGTGCTGCCACGCCCAGCTACCATTATCTTTAATGGAGTGTCCTGCTAGCTTTCCCCAGTGAGGGCGCCAAGGAGAAGCTTCCCTGTACTGGAAGAGAAGTTTGCGCTGTGCGGAGCTCCCAGCGGACAGCTTTAACTGTCCTCGTCTCTGTCTTTTCCCCTTGTAGCTTCACAAACAAGCAGATATGCAAGAAGAGAAAAACCGCATTGAAAGAGTCCTCGGGGCTACTCTTATGCCTGAACTGATCCAAAAAGTCCTCACGTTTGCACTTTCAGTAAGTCCCGAGGAAGCTGCCTGTAGAGGGAGTTGGTGCCCAGCGTCCCTGGCAGACACCTTCACTGGGTGTCTTCCCGGTCTGCTTTGCCTGGACTAAGGCTCTGCTCCCAGGCTGTTCTCCCAGGCTGTACTGAGGGGCGGGCCGAGGCGACCTTCCCTCTGCCTGCTTCCTGTCCCGTCTCCTCCTCTGCATGCTCGGTACCACGCACGCCTGTCTCGCGTACTCTCCGGCTGGGCTTTAGGTTACTTGCTCTCCTCGCTGCTGGGCGCAGAACGCGCATCCTCAGTGAAGTGACCGCATTGCCGGTTGCATTTTCCGGCACCAGAAGATGATTTCAGTACGCTGGATTTTTAGTTCTGTCTCTCTTTCTAGGAAGAGGTACGTCCACAGGACACCGTGTCAGTAATCGGTGGAGTCGCTGGAGGCAGCAAGCACGGGAGGAAAGCTGCTTGGAAATTCATTAAGGACAATTGGGAAGAACTTTATAATCGATACCAAGGAGGATTCTTAATATCCAGGCTAATAAAGGTGTGGGGGCATTTTTATTTTGCGTAGCTTGCTGATCTTGGACGTTCTTGGGCTATATCCGTGATTCACCGGGCCTGTGGGTTGTGGGCTTTGGCTTTGAAGCTCTTGCCCGTGTTGCCAGGCGTGGTGGTGCACTCCTGTAATCCCAGCTACGAGGGAAGCTGAGGCAGGAGCATTGCAAGTTCGCGGCCAGCGTGGGCAGTTTAGCAAGACCCTGTCTCAAAATAAAGCCAGGCTAGGGCGGTGTCTCCCGGCAGAGCCCTTGCATAGCGTCCCTGAGGCTCTGGGTTTAGTCACCACTGCCACAAACAAAAGAGGTCTCCTCAGATACTCTTGGTTGTGTTCGAAGCCTTCTGCATCCTCTTTACCACACCCTCTGTAATCATCCAGGTTTGCGAGAGAACAGAATGATTGCTTTTCGGGGTAAATGGAAGCTTATTCTCGGTTTCTTTTCACTTCACTTACCGTTCAAAACCTTTGTTTCCTCAGCTATCAGTGGAAGGATTTGCAGTGGATAAAATGGCCGGCGAGGTTAAGGTAAGGGAGGCACTGTCCACGTCACACTTTGCAGTAAGTGCACACAAGTGGTGTCCCCTTGCTTTTTCTTAGACAAGAGGTGGCTTAGATTGCGATCTTCAGCGTCTGGGGAATTCAGAGTTGGGATCCTCTTCGAGGGTGTTGAAATTTGGTTGGAAAAATGAAGCCTTAAGTGAGCTGCCCCGCGTGTGGCTCTGCCCGGCCCCGCCCTGCAGTCCGGAAGGCGGTTGTCTGGACTGAGTACCCTGGGCGGCTGGAGAGCAGGTTGACAGGGCTCTCGTCCCCTTCCCTTGACCCCCCATGTCCCGGCGCCCTCTGGGCCTGGTCGCTTAGCCCTGACGGTCTCCATCGTGTCGCTCTGACTTCATCTCCTCGGAGGTCTCAGCGCTCCGGTCCAGCTTGGCTCACGCTGAGCCATAGTAGGAGCGCATGGAAGATTTCGGAAGCAGTCGAAGGCTTGGCTTCTGCATCGTGTCCTGTGCGTGTGCGCGCGGCTGTCGTGACGCTGGGGTTCTGTGCAGCAGACATGGCCGGGATCGGAGCCTGGGGTGCTCACGCCGGGGCGGGAGGGACCCTGCAGCTTCGCGTGGGGCGGCGGTGGCGGCGGTGGCGGCGATTGCGCTGATCTTTGATTCAGCGGTGTTTGCTGAGTGCTCCTCTGTGTCGTGCCGAGGAGGAAAGTCTGGGACAATCCCCAGGTTGGTGTACACGCCGGAGGTCAGGCCCCGACCCCGACCCGACCCGACCCGAGCGCGCCGCTCTGGGGAGTGAATCACTCTCTGCGCCCGCGGTGACGCCTGGCTCTCGCGGGGGAGCCGTCACCCCGCTGGCTGGTGATTAAGAGTGGTTTTGTTTTCCGTGAAACCAGGTGTCCTTTGTTAGCAGACGGATTATGCAACTTTTAATTGAGCACTGTGAGACCTTAAACTCAGTCTGATTCTGTGAAAAATGAGAGACTGTGGGCTGTTATTAGGTTACTTCGGCAGTTTAAACCTCTCGGCATCACTGTGCCTTTCGACTTCATCTCTGGGCAGCCGCGGTGCGTGGGG